TGCATTCGTTGTGTAGTCCCACACAGAGTTTTCCCTGTATAGAAAGGCTTAGGCTTAGGCACCTCAGTGTTTCTGCAGAGCTCCTTAATGAATGAACACAAAAAGGCCTTTAGGCAACATATGAGCATGAATGTACACTACAAACAACAGCGGGAATTCTATGATTGCAAAACAATGCATAGACGTTTGACGATATGGATAATAAGTGTTGCCAGCTTTCTTTCATGAATATTATAAGGATAATCATCAAAAAAAAAGAGAACACAAACTAAAATGGCTCAAATTTTCATCGGAATAATTTCAAACACCCCAACCACCATCACCAACCTGACCTTGACTACACCTACGCCCTCTGAAGACAAAGGGTAAAAACCTTGGAGTCTGAACAGACTTTGATTATTCACTACAGACAGCACTGTGGTTAAAGAAATGGTCCATCCATAAAATTGTACTAACTACTAATTTATTCAGATTTATTTCTGAGTTTTTTACACTCTGTATTGGTTTTTGTTTCCCTTGACACACACATTAGCCTCTGAGCGTTCACTGCCGCCAGCTCTTATTAATGCATTTTACTCTGGAGGTTTCTTGCAGACAGGCAGCTTGCTTGCAGATTATTTACTCCTTTCCTTTTAATATCACAACAAAGGGCTGTGACCAAGAAATACAATGACTTAGTATGTTTTTTTTTCCCAGTCTGAGATTTGTTCAATACTTCTATCAGAGCTCCATTACCCCTGAGCCTGAGGCAACTCAGCCTTGGATGGTGAGGTGGGTTTAAATGTAACCTCTAATGCTGTGGGTCACTGCCCAGTTGAGCAGAACTGTTCAACTGGGAAACTCCTCAGGCCTTTGAGATAATAATTTATGGCAATTACAAGCATACATGCAAACACACACACGTATGAATGGACATAAAACACCAAGAGCTATGAAGAAGAGCAACTAGCTTTTTGTGCTAATAAGCTCAAATGCCTCAGCAGAGTGAGGTGAGACTGTCGACTACCCACCTTTACCAGTGCAGACCACTGGAATCAGTCCGCAGCTGTCAAAATAGCTGTCTGACTTTTCAGACATACAATATATTTAGCTATTATAATACAAGCCTGCTCTTTGATCATTTGGTGCAGTTAGTTTTGAATCTTGGTCCTCAGGACACAAAGTCATGTTAGCTTTCATCATGTCATCAAACTGGGACTACACTCCAACTTGAATGCAAAGTGAAGGGAAATGGCTGCTTGTTGAAAAACCAGCTATATTTTAGATCCAGAATCTGGAGTGGAATCCATTACAATGACCAATTAATGCACAGCCACTTGTGCAGTTTTAAAATCCAATTTTCTCATTTTCGGCCGAATGACCAATCAGAGGGTGAGTCACACTACTTATTCCATGTTAATACATCAAGTATAAAGATCAATTGAGGATGCTCCTGCCTCCCACACAAACTCTATTCCAATGCTAATACTGCCATCTAGTGGTCATCGGTGTACAGCAAGCAGACTTCCTTACAGTGTGCAGTGCACTGTGAATGGTATTTAGTAGAGTACAGGGTATAATTATTATTGAACAGTATACAAATGTAGTCAGCTAAGGTGAAATCCAAGAAAACTGTTTCAATGGCCCAGTGGAGAAAGAAGAGAACATATGGTCCTGTACTTTCTACATTTACAACAGTGACCTGTACTGTACAGTAACACCATGAGAATTATTTTATGATGGTGATTTGGGCTGTCCTTGCTTCTGTGATATTCACTGTGCCTGAGATAATACACTGAAACTACCCATTAGGTTCCTGTAAAATCAAAATTAAAACACTCACTCAGTTTTGATACCTCCAAAAAATGTTGGGACAGTGAAGCATTTACCACAGTGTGATGTTGCCGTTCCTTTTCACAACACTTAAAAGGCATTTAGGGACTAAGGACACCACGTGATTAAGTGTGTCAGATCTAATTTTGTCCTATTCCTCCTGCAAACAAGTCTTAAGGTTCACAGCAGTCCTGGGTCTTGCTTGACACAATTTGCTTTCCACAAATCACCACACATTCTCTACTGGTGTTTAACCCGTCTTACCTCCTCCGAAGAGATGTTTTTAACTTGTTGTTTTATTCTAGTTGTATCCTGATATGGAAGTTTTTTTTTTTACTGTTTCTGCCTTAAAATTCTGTTATTACTAGGGACAGGTCGGGACTGCAAGCAGGCCAGTCCAGCACTCACACCCTTTTCCTCCACAGCCAGGCCTTGGTAACCTGCGCAGTATGAGGTTTTGTATTGTCTTGTTGAAATATGCATGGGCATCCCTGGAAAAGATGTCGTCTTGAAGGCAGCACATGTTGCTCCAACATCTCAATGTGGTTTTCAGCATTAATGGGGCCATCACAGAAGTGTAAGTGACCTTTTCCAAGGGCACTGACACATCCCCAGACCATGACAGACCCTGGACAGATCCAGAGAAGAAAGAACACAGCAGCTGAAGCAAATTTGAGTCCTTTGGCTGCTTTTAATCTTCTCCATCTCAAAAAGCCAAACTGATGTTTAACCATGGTTTTTGTTCTTCATTCCACTCGCTCTGCGTATACGAACGCCACCTCTTCAGTCTGACACCCAATGGCGTCAGGCCGATGGCTGACTGAAACTTGTGGTTCAAAAAGTGGTTCTTATAACCGTCACTGGGTGGCTAATTTATGGACAACGTCTTAACAACACTGGGCAGAGAAGCTGGAATAACAACAGAAGGGCTGTAGGTAGTAGAGTGGTAGTATAGCAGAGAGCCACCACATTTTGTCTTATTTTCACTTGACTTCTCAGACGATGCTTTAGTGAATGCAACTTTAACATTCAGCTATATAGTTATCTCACATTTTGAGTTTACCTTTGTGGCTGCAAGTGAATAATCAGACTCTCGGTCTTTGTAACCTAAAAAAGTCAACATGTTATAAACCAAACATCTTTAGATTATGTCAAAATAGACATAGATTCCAGGACAGAGTCATCTGATCCATAAACATCTTTTTAGTCTGGTGGACAGAGACCTCAGAACATCCTGTAATGGCTCCTTATGATCCAGACTCTCCACAAACTCTGACAGCAATAGAAAAGTTTTAAAATCTCCTCAAAGAGCCTTTTGCCACAGCTTTCCACTGACATGACTCACAGTCAGGATTTCCACTAAAAGGCTGTTCTCAAAAAAGGACTGCATGCTGCAGAGAAACTAGCACCATAACAAACTCTACAGCCAAACATCAGCTGTACTGACACAAAGCAAACAGACAGTTACAAAGTGCTGCTAGTGTGCCACATCCTGTACAACACAAAGATTATGATTTAATTGCAAAAAACTGAAACAGACACCCAATGATCTTGCCTTTTACAGTATTACAGAAACTGCGGCTGATGTGCCAAAAGCCTCTGTTGTGCCTTACTGTTTGTCAGATGGGTTAACTCACCCATCCATAAATAACTCAGTGCTCAAATGTCAGCAGTACTGACTCAGTATAGGCTAGGCTACTCAAAGACCAACAGAGTTGCACAGTTTTTGTTGTTCAATTAGGTACTACTCTGCCACTGTGCACATTTTATCATACTGTGATACATCTGTGTACTCTTCTCATATCAGCTGGGAACTCAAAGAACATTCCCGCTATACAAGCAGCTGTTGTGCAGACATTTTTGGTGACTAAAAACAAAACAAGAGAAGAATGGCAGTATGTGAAACAGAAACATAAGACAACCACAGATCTCAGACAAAATCCATTTACACAAACCTTTGTTTGTGTAAATGGGTTCAGGGCAACAAAGGGAGATGTGCTGCTTCTCACAACAGATTGGGACTGTAGTTATATACCCATTTAGACTAGTCTCAGCTCTCTTCAGACATGTCATGAGGCTGTGTTTGTTGTTCCACTTTGGAATCTGGTTACTGTCTTCGAGTCAGATGCAGACAAATGCTGAAGCACTCTGGTGCCACAGATGAGAAGGAAAAAAAATGTCAGCGGTGCAACGTGGCATTGAACAGCTGACTGGTTTCTTCATTCAAGCTCAGCTCCTTCAAATTGTTTCCTGTAGCCTGCATTTAAACCCTTGAGCCACACATGCTGAACTGTACTGGACTACATCTGCTTACACTTCATTATCACCTAGACCTTAGACAGTTGCTAAGTTGTTGCTAAGTTGCTAACATGAAAATAATTAAATGACAAAGATCTTATGTAAATATACCATCTTCTCCCTCCAATATGTAATTAATTGCTGGTTTTCTTTGTCTATCAGATATTTGCATTATTGATTGGTCAAAAGATTACTTTGTCAATTAATCACTTAATTGTTGTTTGTAAAACATTACAAACAGTGAAAATGTGCACCCCATTTTTCCAGACTTCAAGGTGATCCCTCAAATGTCTTGTGTCCAACCAACAGTCTAATAGATATTCACTTTACTATAGCATAAAGTCAAGGAAAAACACCAACGTCTTACTTTAGAGGACAAGTAATCAAAGTTTTGATATTTTTGCTTGAAAAAAAAAAAGACTCAAAAATGAATCACTTATCAAAATAGTTGCAGGGTTTTTTTTATTGTTTTGGGTTTTTTTTGTTTGTTTGTTTGTTTTAAATACATTGACTAATGTATGATAGTAAACTTACTACTTTGGGTTCTGGACTGTTTGTCGATCACAACACATTTGAAGATCTCACCTATGGGGAGCTGTGATGGGCATCTTTCATTTGGTTATTTTCTGACATTTTATAGACTAAACAATTTATAAAGAAAATGCCCGAATGTTCCAGTTCCAGCCCTGACATTTTTTATTTTATGTTTTGAATACACAACTTCAACGCCGGAGTGACCTTTAAGACCGCCTAGCTAAAAACAAACTCACTGCAAAATCTTATCAGCAAAGTACACTGTGTTTTACTGTTGTGTCATGAGGTCACGTGTAAACACAGATTCAGTGCTGTGTATGTAGCAGACTAACGGGTGCTCAGTACTAGGGTCTCACCTGGTTGGTGTGATCATAGAAGAAACCGATGGACCTCAGCGTTGGCCCGATGCTGCAACTCTCTGTGTAGGTGGCACCGCGGTCCTTGTATGCTCCCTCTTTGAACTTATAAGCAATGGTAACATTTCTGATAGGTGGTGGCCCAGTCTTTATAACCACGTCTGACAGGAGCCCCGAGTAGACCAGGAAACCCCCCACTGTCACAATCAAACACACAAGGAGCACGACTATCAGGAGCACCAGAATTAAATCAGACATGGTTTATCAACGCGGTGCTGTTGAAGTCAGTGCTATGAGCAAAAATCTACCAAATCTTCACGTCCTCCACCGGGTTACATACAGCGACACTGTGGTCCTGTAGGTTCAAATGACAGCACAAAAACGTGGCTATTCGACAGACGGCGTGAAATTTGTTTTTCACACACGCAATAACCTGACACGAAGGAGGAAGCACTCGGCTAAGTTGACAGAAAAAAACTGTTTGTTGGTAGCATTTCCCCAAACACTAGACATGCTTCCCGGATAGACCATCCTCGTCTACACAGCAGGGAGGTGTGAATGCATTTTGTAGACAGCTACTGTCCAAATGTTGATCACACGGTCAAAATAGGGAATAATCTCACAATGACGACGCCTTAATAATAATATATCACTCGTCATGACAAACGTAAACCTTAGCTGGTGACCATATCGTAAACATTTATGGCGTAGATACCCCATATTTATCTTGTGGTTCGTCCCAGGAGGCTCGGGGAAAGATGTGTGTCGCTGTCATTTTTTTTCGTTGATAGTTTCTTTTTTCGCCGATTTCCGTGATCTGTAAATGATATGACGGACTGATCTAACGTTTTCAGTGCTGATTTTTAGGAATCTAGAGATAAACATTAGAGGGTTTGTTCAACAGAAGTCAACTTCATCAAACTTGTTTTCCATAACAATTGAAAACAAACCTGAAAGGTACAGGTGGATCTGAGCATGTGCAAGGACTGGTTTTTAAGCCCAGAATGAGGCAGAATCAGATGTTCCAGAAAACCCAAGACAAGTGGTTCACTGGGTAGAGCAGTCGTCTTTTAACCGGAAAGTTGGATGTTCGAATCTCAGTGCCTGCAGTCCACGTGTTGAAGTGTCCTTGGGCAAGACACTGAACGCCCAAGTTACCCCCGATGGTTAGCACCATCGTTGAGTTGGCATTGCAAATGGCTGCTTCGGTTCTGTACCAGAAACAAATTCCTTGTGTGCGTAACATACTTAGGCAAATAAAGGTGATTATCCTAGACTATAGGGAACCATTCACCAAAAACTCGAGACCTTATCTCGAATTTATCAATTGTGTTTTTGCTGTTCTTTTGAGTCTGTATTTAATGTGTGATCCAATATGACATCATGCTCCCTTTTTAACTGTTGCCTTTTTGCATTGTTATTGGTTTAAGAATTGTAACTTGTAATATCAGCAGCTGTAATGCCTGGAGACTGAAAAAACTGAATTGTATGGTCACTTTAAAGCGCCAAGAGTCATGTTATTAAGATTCATGACTCCTGGAGGTACCATCAGAAGCTCTGCACACTGGTAGTTCCATGTTTGTTTGTTTTTTTAAACATAAAGGTAAGATTGACATATCAGTCTGTGATGGCTATATGGAAATATAGAGCTGCTGCGTGGCATCCATGCAAACAAGACACACAGCAAATAAAATGTCACCATAACTGACAGGAATGATGGTCAGAATGGAGTATAATATAGTTTTTCTTGTAAAATGTATAATACACACAGTCAGACTATACCTCTCAATACTAAGTGTGTGACAATAATTCCCACTGCACTGAAATGAGCCCCCACCCTGACACCTCCACTAGGTGAAGGCCGGTTCTGTGAAGCAGGAGTTTGAGAAGCAGGAAGAGCTGAGACGCTCGGCCATGCGTGAAGCCTCTACACACCAGTAGTCCCACTGCTGAGATCTTGTCAGGACTGTTTTATCCAACCAAACAGGCCTATTCAGTTTTACTATCATGACAAAAACTATCAAGGCAAACACCATTGGCCAAGATGGGAACAGGTAATGTTGCAACTGTAAATCCATTTTTAATGAAAAAGAATGACTGAAACAAATAATTGACTAGATTCCGACAGAGCGGTGAACAGCAGCCTGTTTGTGGTCAGACAATGTGGACACCATGTCCTCCCAGCAACCCACAGCTTTAGGTTATGAATCAGAAACTAAGCAGAGAGGGTTTAAAAATCCATTCCTAGATCTAGACTGTGTAGATTCATGACTGGATAAAATAAAATATGAAAGAATGGCCGTTTTTCTGCAAACACTATGATCAGCTGATGAAGCCTGTGCCTTTAACGTCTTTCCCCGCCCCTTGCTGTTACATAACAAGCATACCTGCATAGGTAGAACGATTGTCGGTCACGGGAAAGGAAGTATGTCATTGCGGTTCCCGCAGACCAATCATCAACGAGGTCCGTGCGCAGTGGGCGTGGCTACAGGCGGTTTAAATTTTGAGAGCAAGCGTTAGTTGAATTTGTTTGGTCTGCGGAAAAGTGCTGTTCTCTGCGTCGGTCGCTATAGTCGGTGTTGATTCGCGTTTGTTTGGCGCCAGGACGTTGCCAAACACATCCGTTTTGTGCTTGCAGGAAAATGGAGCTTTAAGTGTTCGGTAAGTCCCAGAACTTTCTTTAAGAAAAACGGTTTGTTTTAACACTGAAGTAGAAAGTGTATCTCAGTCTGTTACAATGAATTTGTTTCCTGCTCCATGACGTGGCCTGTAGATTTGGAATCTTTGAGTCAAGCTAATTTGTTATTTTTCCTCTTTTCAGGTAGAACTACCGAACCGTAAGTCCAGTTTATTTTTACTTTAT